TTGATCTTTGTCTAAAGAGCGAGCTAGTTGAACTTCGGTCACAGCAGAGTGGTTGGGCGTTAGAAGTCGTTGGATGTTAACCAAACTGCGTCTTTTCCTCATTATTCTTTTGTCTCCAAATACCCAATAACTAAAATCATAGACATGCTTTCCATTCTTTTTCCACCTTGTTAAAATTCAAATCATATTTGGGTATGCACATATGTCCACTTGCATATTACATCTTTGTGGCATATACAGTTGAACTTGAACTCCATCAAGCGGTTTGATGGCCGCGCGCTCCATTGAGATAGGTGGACTGTTCACTAAATTTGAGAATCGAATCCTCAGTTGTTAATATTTACCAATACTAATTTACTAACGATTATCCTTATCAAAAAAAATATATATATACAGTTGAACTCTCTTATAACAAACTTGTTCTCAATTATGTTTTTAATACATGACTTAGCTTTCTAAAATAATATTTTATAATTCAATAATAATTCTCATTCTAAGTTAATTTAAAGTTAAAATTAAAGTTATAAATTTAAATCTCTCAGTTACCAAGTAACAAATTCTATTTCAATAATTATAAGAAGAGTTTAATTTGAGTTGTATGAAACTAAAACAAAAATTTAAAATTTCACATGTGAATGGCGATTAAGTTTTATGGGTATTTTAGTACCAGAGGATTAAGTTTTATGAAACTTCCAAAATTTTAATACTAGTTTATAAAATTTTTTTACATAAATTAATAATAATAAAATAAATTTATTTTATTTTTAAAAAATTATGGTTACCTTTCCTAACGACCTTTCAGAAAACAATATGCAAAAAAAAAAAAAAAAAAACCCAGAAATCCTCCAACTGTTTCTCTTTGGCTGCTCTTATCATTTCTTAATTCATAATCCAATGTCTACAACCTAAGTTATCCATAAGCTTCTCCTTCTTCCTTACCCTCACATTTGCCTTTTCTTAGTCAGGTCTTCTCCTTTTCTTATTGCCTTTCTCCCTCTCTTCTATATATTTGTCAGCATCCAAAAGGCAGAAAATGTGCGGTGTTAGCCTGTGGATTTCTTTGTCCTCTTCAGTCCTGGCAAAAAGAATCTCCTCTCTCTCCCCTACTTTAGAATAATCACATTATTAGCGCAAACCCATAATCCTAATTTCATGTTGTCTTTTCTCGTTCCTCAGGACTCAGGAACTTCCCTCCCAACTAACCCACAATTAGTTTATTCTTAGTTCAATACCTTTGCTTATACAATTTTATGGTGTATAGTTGTCTTTGTATTGGTATTTAACTCTCTTTGCCCATCACATTCCCCACCTCTCTTTCCGTGAGAAATTCTCTCCCCTTCTCCAAGCAAAGCCCTCACCTTTTTTATATTCCTTCAGCCTTTGCTTTTGCTTTCTCTCTCCTTTCTGGCGTCTGGGTTTCTGTGTTCTTTATCTTCATTGAGATCTGGTTCAAGTATGGGTTTTGTTGAAGGAAGTGGCACTAACTATAGAGGCACAACCACAAAGGATGGCCTAAATGCTCTGTACAGCACACATGCAGATCAGGACTGTGACTGTAATGAGCATAAATTCAGAGATATTTTGACGAGAATGTTTTGGGATTTTGGCTTGGCTTGTTTTCTGCCTTCTCGCCAGAGTAGAGGCTTGGGGAAGAATCATGGCAATTGTGAGAAGAAATCTGGGAATAATTTGGAGCACAACAAGGCATGGTTGCTTGCGGAGTCTGGTGGGTGTGGAGCAGAATTGACCAGTGCTGAGCCACAATCAGTTCACTCGTCTTTCAGGTTCAGTTTCTGCTCTCAAGTGGAGCTTGAGGCCATGAATGCGAGTTCTTTGACATCTGCAACCGTTTTGATGGTGAATTTGGATAATGGGTTTAGCGAGGCAAGAACTAAGGAGCTCAAATGGAGGAGAATTGAGTCTTTGGAGAAGAGCATCTCACCCGTGGCCAACTCTTTGGTTAGGTTCAGCTATGGTGAAATTCTTGCAGCCACTCGAAATTTCTCTAAAGGTATGTGCTTTCATTGGGATATTTTGAGATGTTCTTGTACTGATTTTGGAGTCCTCTTGTCTGTTTTGCATGAGATCCTGATTGGTTTTGTTGTAATGTCTAGGCAGAGTTTTGGGAAGAGGAGCTTTGAGCTTTGTTTTCAGGGGAAGAATTGGGTTTTTGAGGACTGCTGTGGCTATTAAAAGGTTGGATAAGGAAGACAAGGAGTCTCCTAAGTCCTTCTGTAGAGAGTTGATGATTGCTAGCTCTTTGCACAACCCATACATTGTTCCTCTTCTGGGATTTTGCATTGATCCTGAGGAGGGACTCTTCTTGGTGTACAAGTATGTCTCTGGTGGAAACTTGGAGCGCCATTTGCACGGTATGCTTTATTGTTCTCCAGTGGAGATTTTTGTTTGGATTTTGATGAATTTGAGTATTTATGATGCACCAATTCTGCAGACAAGAAGAAGAAGGGAGTTAAGGCACGGTCTTCGGGACTGCCTTGGTCTGTAAGGTATAAGGTTGCCTTAGGAGTAGCAGAAGCAGTAGCATTTTTACACAATGGAACTGATAGATGTATTGTTCATAGAGACATTAAGCCCTCTAACATTCTTCTTTCTTCCAAGAAAATACCCAAGGTAAGGTGTTTTATGATTTTATTACTTGTTTGAGCATTTGACAAGATTAAGGCAGCTTATCTATGCAGTAGATCATCTGATTTTGTTATCATGTTGATGGCAGTTATGTGACTTTGGATTAGCAACTTGGACAACAGCACCCTCAGTTCCATTTCTTTGCAAAACTGTTAAAGGAACATTTGGGTAAGAGTTCAAGGAAACTTATCATAGAAAGCGAAACTGAAAATCAAACATTCTCTATTAAAGTAAATGTTCAATGAATACTAAGTTAGCCTGCTCTTTTCCCATTCTAATCAACCATAAAATTTGAATATGCAGTTATTTGGCTCCTGAGTATTTCCAACATGGAAAAGTATCTGATAAGACTGATGTTTATGCTTTTGGGGTTGTCTTGTTGGAGCTGTTAACTGGACGGAAGCCAATTGAGGCAAATAGGCCTCCAGGGGAAGAGAATTTGATCCTCTGGGTAAGTTCATACACTCAATTCCCATTCACTTGCCATATTTTCCATTGTCTATGTGATGATTGAATAAATGGTTCCATAACAACTTTACAGTGGGGGGTGAAAGTTTCAGTGCTCCCTCTACATCAATTGACACATATGAAAATGCTTTAACAGATTTTAGATGATGACCAATTGATAGTGAAAGTACTCGTGACTGTGGTCCAGAGAGGCAAAGATTACAGTTGCTGTTATTAGAACTTCATTTCTGTGGTCATATATCTCTGTTCTTTTTGGAACTTCATTTTACTTATTTAAGCTGATTCTTGAAAATTTTATTTGAGACATGATTTTGTACTAGTAACCGAGATTTTAAATTTCCCCTTAGCTTCTCGACATATCTGTGGCTTTTAGAGTTTTCTGATATTATGAGAAGGTGCATAGAAAGTTCAGGATTTTGTTTTTCTAGAAATATAGTTGGAAAGAACAAATGATCTTACAGAACCTCTAGTTTTACAAAATGAGACTGAGAAATTGTTCAGTTTTAAAGTTAATATTCCCTGGGAATTTGGACTTAAAAGATCAGAACTGAAACCTCGATAATCATCTAGCTTGAATATATATTTGTTCATTGGAAGTTTTTTGAAGGAATCAATGGTTCTTTCATATAGAACTTGACCTGCATTTGAAGTTGAATCTGTAAGCATGAACTTTACATTCTCTTTTTCAGGCAAAACCTCTCTTGCATAGAGGCATGGCAGCTGTTGAAGAGCTGCTTGACCCACAGCTCAAATGCAATGTAAAGAATTCAACTCAAATAGCAAGAACGATTCAAGCTGCAGCAGCTTCCATAAACAATGAAGAATCTAGAAGGCCATGCATAGATGAAATCATTGCTGTGCTAAAAGGTGAAGTAGAACCAGTTTATTCAATTAGAAAGAAGTCTAATTTTTCTGGAATCATCGATTGTTACTCTCAATTACCTCAGAACAAAACTGAGATGAATAGTCACTTAGCTTTAGCAATGCTAGGAGTTTCAGAGTTTGACGATGATGACCTTTACTGTCGCTGAAAGTACTAAATCTACATTTTAGCTATCCATTTTTTTTTAACCTGTTTTTCTTGCTTGAAGAGAAAGGGATAGACATTATAAACCCTCAACCCCCCCCTCCTCACACCCCAAAAAAAAAAGAAAAAAAAGGGTGTTCAAAATTGTAAATAGAAATAGGAGTGTCTAATGAGATTGTGTACATAACTTGAATCTGCATGTTCCCCTACTCACAATGGATATTCTCTTCGTTTTCATTTGAAGTTGAGATTGTTTGAACTGCACTTTAATGTTGATTGTAGTATATATATGTATATTTTTTGGGCGTTTGATAGTAGTATTGTTTGAACTATCCAATTTTTATTTTATTTTTTTTAATGCTTGAAATAAGCATGAGATGCCTAGTAGTAGGTATGTAGACTGTAGAGGGGTCTTTGTAAACTCCTGTTTCTGTTCCATTTCTCTGTTAATGCTCCTAAATCCCATTTCCGGAATAGGGATTCGAACTTGGGACTTCCGAGACGCAAATCTTATATGTTTGCTTTAAATACAGAGTTTCACTTTCGCGTTTCGTTAGCGAATCTGTACAAATCAGAACCACAGACAAACAACAGCAAAATTAGTTGAACTGGGAATTCTTCATTTTATGATTTTCTTTAATTTATTAAATGCAAACAGCATTCGGTGGAATAAATGAATATATGTGTGGAGACTCGGCAACAATTATTGGGTGTATGTAGTTTATCAACTTAAACAACATTAAAAGACAGAGGTTAACAGTTTAACTACCAACAACATCAGTTCTATCATTATAATAAAACACAGTTTCTCATAATCATGAAGACAAAACAGAGTCATATATAATTTATGACAATGGGGAAAAAAAAAATACTGTAAAGGAAATAATAGAGTTTTAAAAAATCTTGGCAAGATCCCTCATTAGGTCACGGTTGGCACAGGCAAAGTCTGTGTATTCTTGGTAGGAAATGTAGCCATCCCCATCTGTGTCAATCTCAGCCATCATGCTTTTACTTTCATCGGGTGCGATGGAGCCAGTGACAATCAGGGCGTCTCCAAGCTCTGCTACAGAGATCTTCCCGTCTCCGTTGGCGTCCCAGTGCTTGAAGATGCGCTCCCGGTCGGCCTTCTCTGCTTCATCTGCCATTTTTTATTTTTTTTTGTTTAAAGGGTAATGTTTTAGAGTTAAAACCTTGGGGCTAATTTGGGTGGTGTTTCTTGAATGAGAATGAGAGATTGTAGTTTTAAAAGACAATTTATAGGAGAAATTAAGGTTTGTCCTTTGAATTCGGATTTGGCATTATGACCGGATCATGAGTAGTGTTGTAACTGCGAACGTTTTTGGTGAGGAAAATGATTAAGAGGAGAGATATGAGTGCCTAAGAAACTACGATGTTAAAGCAGAAATCACACGTTGAGAAATAAAAAAGGTAATTAAAACACAATATGTGCTATTCTTTCCTTTTTCTATTTTTTTTGCTAATTGTCAAGTTGTCCTCAAACAAGCAACGGTCCGTTGGATATGCCCTGCTTTGGAGAAGCTCAGAAGCACACTTACCTCGTTTCACTAGAATCAGATTCGTTTTTAAAACTTATTTTATAGTCCGAATTACACCAAAATGTCAAAATATAAATATTGAATGAAAGGAGGGCTCTCATTCCAACGAGTCCAAGGTTTTTTTTTTATTTTTTTTTATGTTAATTGTATTACAAAAAATAACTATTTCTCATCTCTTATCCCACTCCACTCGCATATCATAGAATTCGAACTCAAGATCTGTTACTTCAAATGAAAGAAGATTATTACTGAAATCAAAGAGTCAAACTTTTATTCAATAATCAATAATATATAATTTATTACAATATAAACTATACAGTAATTTTTATTTTTTAAATGGTAATTTGGTTGCTGCTTATTACAGATTCTACCAAAAGCCCATTTTCTGGTTTGTTCTAAATAAAGGCTCAACTCAAGATATTCGTTCAAAACTTGGAGGCCCAATTGTGATTGAATGCTGGGCTTGTTCTGGGGTGCTAAAGGCCTATAATATAAGTCCATCAAAGTACGAGTATGCCGAAAAACATTGCGCGGAAAATAATATGGCCTCCAACCCCTCATCTAATGATTTAAATCAAAAGGCCCTGATTTTTCGCCATCATTATTTTTGGGCCCTTTAGCAGGTTTGAATTGAATTTAAAACTTCCAATGTGGAGTTTCAATTTCTAATAAGCTTTTTCCCCTACTGAATGTTTTAGTTTGAGGAGAACGGAAAGGAGAGGAGGAGATTAAAAAAATGTTGTATTCCTTCTTTTTCATTTTTTTTAAAATTTTTTTCATTTGAATAAGTAAATGAATTTGGAAAAAAAAAAAAAAAACAAAATGCTTTCTTTCAATTTCGTCCCCTCTAATTCTTTCGTAACTAAATAGAGTAAATTTTTCCCTTCTCTTTTCTTCTATTTTCTTAACTCAAATGTACTACTAATTTAGGATTGTATGGCAAAAAGTAATCCTCTTTTATTTTTTTTATTGCTTTCAACCATAAGTTTGACTAAATTTAAAATATTTTATTTTTATGAACAATGTATTTGGGTTAAAATGAAAAAAAAAAAGAAGAAAAAATAAATTTTTAATCAATCAAATTATATTATTTAATCAATTAATTTAAAAACTTTTCTCTCTTCTTTCCCTCCCTTTTATTTTCCTCGACCCAAAGATTAAAGAAAAGAAACTTACAACCTGTGGCTGTTTAAGTTGTTGGCCAAACTCTTATCAGTCGTCCTTGACGATCTTTATCGCAAAACACTAATATCATAATTTCAAGGTTACCCTCAAAAGCGGAGAAAAGGTGCAATAAGGATAAACTTTATTATTTTTTATTAAGGATGTAAATTTTATTAATTTTTAAATAAAATGGTAAATTTTTAATTTTTTTAATTTAAAAATATCAAATTTGTATTTTTTATTTAAAAATTAATTAGATGATAATGCTAATATAACAAACAATCTTTTAACCATCTAATTAATTTTAAAATATAAAAAAAAACACAAAATTGATATTTTTAAATAAAAAATGTTAAAATTTTATTGCCTTATTTTTTTGGTACATCTAATAATAATTGTTTATATAAGAGGAAATAACCCTCCTTTTTCACTAAATCCCTCCCTATCTAACTTAAGGTTCAGACTTGAAATCTTTAATTTAGAATTTTAAATTCTTAACCATTAGGCCATCCTCTTGAGGGTTATTTATTGCTTTGTTTAAAAACTAATAACGTTTACATCTTTAAATAGAAAAAATAATAAAATTTGTATTCTTATCTACACATTTTTTTAAATAGATTGCAATTATTTACATATTAATTAGGGAATGGAGAAAGGGGTCCCGTGGAACCCAAACATGCAACCCACAAGAGGTGAACGACTCTAACTCATAGCCCAATACCACTAGACCGGAGCGGGCTGTTCCTTATCCACACATTTTAATTGCATGTATTCTTTAGAAAATCATACTTAATATAGTTCTTATTCCTACCAAGTAAGGTTGGAAAAATGTGATTCATGACACATAATAATGGGCAAAAACCTAATTTTAGCCCCTTACTTTACCAAGTTTGAAGGTTTTAGCCTATTATCTTATACCATGACATTTTAACCCCTCACTTTTTTAGATTTGTAGGTTTTAACGCCTCACCTATTAAAATCAAAGAATATAACCCTCACTTTATACTTACTGTTAACTCTGTTAGTTAAAAGTAGATTTTTATTAACTAATAGTCAACTAATAGTCAATTAACAAAATTAACGAAATATTATAAAGTTAATTCTGTTAACTCTGTTAATTGAAAGAAGGTTTTTGATAGCTAACAGTCAATTAATAGTCAGTTAATAGAGTTAACAGTCAGCTAATAGGTTTAATAAAATGTTACAAAGTGAGCATTATTTTTTTCAATTTTAATAAGTGAGGGGCTAAAAATGTCATAGTATAAGGTGAGGTTAAAACCTACAAATCTAATAAAATAAGCAGCTAAAAATGTCGTAATATAAGGTGTGAGATTAAAAACTTCAAACTTAACAAGGTGAGGGACTAAAAATAGGCTTTTGCCTATAATAATGGGATAATGTAGTTTTTTTTCTTTTTTTTTTGACAATGACAATGTTAAGCTAATGAGTTAGTATCTATTCAGCCTCGAGTCGAATTAAGGATTAGGTAAACTCCACTTATTACTCGTGAAGTAACGTGATCCACCCACTGAGTCACATGAGATAGTGTAGCTTTTTAAAATGTAACGTACACATCACTTCTTTATTCGGCCGAGAAAATTTAAAGGAAGTACGCAATGCCCAT